AGTGGGCAGGGCCTAGAGCTCCAGATCTCTAGACTGTTCTGTCATTCAGGTCTCCGCGGTTTTAGGTGAACCTCAGGCTGGTCACGGTTCCTTCTGGTCATGCCACGTCTAGATGGAGAACAGGAGGAGGACTCAAGGTGTTCTTTGCACTTTCTTTTCTAGATCTTATTGCCCATGAAGTCAGGGTTAAGCAGAGACGCATAGAAGGTGAGTGGTCACATGCTAACCCGTGCCCAGGTCATGGGAAGACTGGCTTTAGCACTGGCACACAGTTGTCCCTGGAAGAAGGCCGAAGACTCAAGTTTTCTGCTCATACGGTCTCTGTGGCATCACTGAAGCAGCGATCCAATGTTTGCCTCAGTCTATTTGCAGAGGTCTGTCACCACCACCACAGTCTAATTTTAGAACTTTATCGCCCCCAAAGGAAGCCCCATGCATTAACATTCACTGCCTTCCCTACCTCCCCCCTTTCACCCCTCTACCACCCCCATTAGTTTCCTTCAAGTTGGTCGGACTCTGGCACCAGCATGGGTGTCAGAGAAGAGTTGAGCTCCAGGGGTTTTCAGGGGTCAGTATTTCAGAAGTAGGTCACCGAGCCTTCCTTCTGACATGCTTCTGGGGACACTTGGTCCTCGACTCTGTGGTCACCAGTCTAGGCAACCACTAGTGCACATTTTCTCTCATAGATTTGCCTATTCTGGATGCCTGTATTTCCATTTGGATTTTGTGCTCAGCTTCATGTCTGAAGAAAGGCTAGTTTAGATTTTGACAGGGACCAGTAGATCCATGAACATGGTATATCTTCCATGTATGGAGATCTTTGGCATGTTTGTAGCTTTCGGTGCATTCATCTTTGGTTACATCTAAGTAAGGTCCTGGGTGGTACACATGTTAAACATTCAGTTATGAGCTAAAAGGTGGGTGGTTTGAACCCATCCAGACGTACCTCAGAAAAGCGGCCTGGAGATCTGTTTCCCAATGGCCACCGTCTTACAAACCCCATGGAGCAGTTCTTACGGTGTACACACAGGGTGGCCGTGCGTTGGGATTCATTTGACAGTAACTAACAATTTATAAGTGTGTGTGTGTGTGTGTGTGTGTGTGTGTGTTTCCCTGCATGGCATTGTAATGCACACTGTGCTTTCCACGTTCACATTAGACATCTGCATCTGCTGTGGGAGCTTCCAGGTCTCGACAGAACACCCTCTCTTTGAGGGAGGCATGTGTGCTTCCTGTAAGGTAAGGGGGTTCAGTGGTTTCCCTTTGGCTTTCAAGCAAAGAGGACAAAGGGCAGCCACCCTCTGCTTTCTGCCCAGAACAAGTTCCTGGAATCCCTCTTCCTGTATGACAATGATGGGTACCAGTCCTACTGCTCCATCTGCTGCTCGGGCGAGACCCTGCTCATCTGTGAAAACCCGGACTGCACCCGGTGAGGCTTGGGGCACCCACACCAAGGGGCTGTCTGGGACGGAGCAAAGAAACCCCTACCTGCAAGTCGAGATAATTCCCGTCCCTCTTGGTGATGGAGCCCGGGGTGTTGGAATTTCCCCCCAAAGAATAAATTCTTCCCAAGTATTCAACTTCATCTCAAATACTAGATTGACCGTACAGCCTGGATATAGGGGAGGGGAGTTGACAAAAGATTTGCATTGGTGGGTTCCCCCCACCTTTTTTTTATTATTGCCAAGACATGGCTGCTCTTTGGTTAGTATGGAGTTATGCATGGGACATCCCAGAGCCAGGAAACAGGCAAAAAGGCATGGGCATCCTGCAGTCACTGCCCACCAGCTTGAACACCATCCGTGGTGCCTGCAACCTAGTGCCTGCCCCCCTCTCTGTCTGGATTTTCTACATCATTCTTGGGTTTACGACTGTCCCACGCCCAGCATCCTGTCCCCTATCTGGTGCACCTGCATTTGTTTTTGCTGTGAGTCCTTAAGTTATCTTTGAAGACCTCAGCATTTGCATGGTTTAAATTCATGTTTGAAACCTGCCGCTGCCCGTAGCGTCCATCTCTGTCTGCCCCGTCTCTTGGGCTCCTGTAGCTGTGTGTCCCTCCTTGTCCACACTCAGTGTCCCTTCTCGGCACGGGGGCAGTGGGGGGAGGGCACCGTTTTCTATCTGAGGAGCTCCGAGTGTGATTTTGTTGTTGTTGTTGTTGTTGTTGTTCACTCAAAAGCAAGGAGGGGCCTTGAAGTTTCGCTGGCGACCAAAGAAACCCCATTGCAATGACTGGCTTTCTGTTTGCCTGTAGCTGCTACTGTTTCGAGTGTGTGGACACGCTGGTCAGCCCCGGGACCTCGGAGAAAGTGCAGGCCATGAGTAATTGGGTGTGCTTCCTGTGCCTGCCCTTCCCAAGCAACGGGCTGCTGCATCGAAGGAAGAAATGGCGGGATCGCCTGAAGGCTTTCTACGACCAGGAGATGGTAAGGCCTGGGGCGGAATGGAGCCGGAATGGAGCGGGGACTGGCGGCAGCATGACCCGAGTGGAAGAGACTAGGCAGAAACGCCTGGGATCTACTTCCAAGAGCCAGCCAGTGGAAACCTGTGAAGCAGACTCACCGGGGAGGACGGCGCAGGGGTAACTAGGCTGAATGTGGTTCTGCCACGTGTGAGTGTGGGCTGACCCTGCAGCGATGAGCCGTAACCAGCACAGCACATCTGAAGGCTTGTCCTTCTAGTTCCAAACTAAACAACCGACCAACACCAAACCAGCGGCCATCCAGTCACCTAGTAGTGGCCTCTTGTGGGTCACAGAAAAACGACCGGACCCGGGGGTTTTCCATGGCTGGATTTCCGGCATTGGATCAGCAGGTCATTCCACCAAGACCGACTCCTCTGGATGGGTCCAAATGACCCACCCAGCTTTCAGCTGGTGGCTAAGCACTCAACCCTCTGCGTCAGTCACCAGGGACGCTGTCTGTCACTGGGGGCAGGACACACGCTGCTGTGACACACGGTGACACACGGTGGCGCCAGAGGCCTTGAAGTCGATGCGCTTTTCCGTGTCCCAAGGATGTCGCCCTGTGGTGTTTCTGACAATTACTTTGGGGTGGCCATTGCATTTGCGATAGGCTTGGGAATGAGCAACTGCTAGCAGGTGGGAGAGTGAGCCCAGCAGAGACTTGTGGAGAGTCCTTGCGTGTCCGCACAGCCAGCAGATAGAAGCTTGTCAGAAGGGAGTCAGGCAGCGGGGCCGCGCCAGTACCTCCTGGGTCATCCAGGGCAGAGACACGGATATGGGGCATCCTGTGGTCAACCTCAAGAGCCTGGGAGCTCAGCAAGAGCAGTGGGCCCACCGAAGGGCAAGGGGGTGAGGGGAATTGTGTCTCCCCAAATGATAAGCCTACATCCTAACCAGATCCTGTGAGAGCTTAGGAAGAGGGCCTTGGCAGACGTGATCCAGTTGAGGGTCTTGGATGAAACCGTCCTGGAGGTAGAGTGGACCTCAAGTCCAATGACGGGTGGTGTCTAAGAGAAAGGAGATGGGGGTTGAGACAGGGACACCGAGAGACAGGCACGTAAAGACGGACGCAGAGCTTGGAGGGGGGACGCAGGTCCACGCCGAGGGAGTCCAGGAGGGGCCTGGATCTGCAGTGGAGACTTCAGACTCCCAACCTCCAGGACGGTAAGACAACACACATCTGCCCTAGTCAGCCACCCGGTGTTGCCGGCAGCTCTAGGACCCTAACAGAATGTGTTTAAACCTGGCAAGGGTGCGACTCTTTAGGTGCCTTCCCCAAAGCAAAGCATGTTCCTTATAGAGCCGCCCTCCCAGGTCCACCGAGGGCCGAAACCACCCGAGGCGGCAGGAGGACACCCTGGGCTTGAGAGTCCCAGGGGGATTGTGACTTCCCAAGACCATTGAACGACCTTGAACTACCGGGAAACATTGTTCAGCACAGCCCAGCCTATGTCACTCCAGCAGGAAGCTGCTCCTGGCTTTGAGTTCCCCCCGCTTTCCTTCCCCAAAGGGCCCACCCAGCCACCAACGCTGTACCTACACACCCTGTGTCAACCCAGTTCAGTGACATGGGGGGCTCTGCCCGAGCCCACCTCCTCCATTGCCCCTCCAGCCCAGGCCACCTACCCTTCCCAAGCACCCAGGCTGCCTCCCCTGTTTTCCTGCACCTGGGCAGCCTCTCCACCCCCACCCATGCCTTTCACTGGTGACCTGGGGTCTCTTGTGAGCCCCTCACTTGGCAGGTGCCCCTGCTTAGGCCTCATGTCGGTTCTAGTCACCATGCCCTTCATTATCAGGAGCCAGCCAGAAGTGCGTTTGATAAACACCTGGTCTGTCCCCCAGGCTAGACACAGGGGTGACATCCCCTGGGGATGGTCCCCAGTCTGTGACCAACTGCTCTGAGTCCAGGATGAAGGTCGGTTTAGGCGTAAGCTCACCCTGGCACTGCCTGAGGCACCTGGGTCCTAGAGTGGAGTTCTGGGAGAACCGGGGCATTACTCCACTGGCCAGTTCCCAGGCCTGGGGCCTTAGTCAGGGGGCTTCTTTGTGGCTGAAGTCAGGGTGCTGGCCCATAGCAGGAACTGGGCAGTGGGTCCCTTCGGAGTCCTTGGGGGGAGAACAGGCAGCTTTGGGAGGTGCCAGGAGTCTCGGGGCCATGTTGTAATCCCCTAAAGGTGTCTGGCCCACCCTGAAGGTGGGGAAGCTGGGGTCTGGAAGGCAGATTGGGTGAAGAAGGAGCCTCCTATGGCAGTGTATTAGGAACTTTCCAGATTTGAGCCTCAGAACTTAAGGATAACTAAGTTTTTTGGGAGTCATGTTATCTTCTCTCAAAATCGGAAAATACCCCCCCCCCCCCCTGCTCTTCCTCTGCCACATTTCTATTAGAGCCAGCCTTCAGAGGGTGAACCAGCCTGGGGAGTGGGCTCAGCCAGCCTTCAGGGGCTGAACCAGCCTGGGGAGTGGGCTCAGCCAGCCTTCAGGGGGTGGCTGCACTTTTAAGGAGGGTCTCAGCACCTCCTTCTCATTCCTATATTTTTCACTGTAACCAAGGGGTTGGCAAAATGTCCTCGTTGTTGTTTTTTCCTTTAAGAAAGAGGAGAGTCCTTTTGAAATGTACAAGACAGTGCCTGCGTGGAAGAGAGAGCCAGTCCGGGTGCTGTCCCTTTTTGGGGACATCCAGAAAGGTGAGCTCGGGGATGTCCTGGAGGTGGGTCTGGGCCCGAGGGGTCAGAGAAAGGAGACGTGGTGTCCCTGTTCCCTGAGCTGGGAGGATGAGGCTGCCCCTGTGGAAACAGTGGCCACAAACTACCTTTGCAACAGCGAAATGCGAAATCAGAAACGCATGTGACTGCCGAGGTCGGCGGGCTGGAGTGTTCTGGGGAGGCTGGGCTGTGAGGAGCAGAGGGGAAGTCACCATCCGACTTTGGGGTCAGGAGGGGCAAGAGAATGGCAGGAGCAAGGCTAGCGAGGTCTGAGGCACACCTGGCCCTGCCATCCAGCCATCACACAGAGGTGACAACGCGGGCGTGGTCCTCAGGCTCTGACCAACTGCTCTGAGTGCACAGCCCTCGGGAGTCGTTACTGTTAGGTGAGGCCATCCGGAGGGACCCTTGGGACAGGGCAGAACTGTTCCTTAGCGTCTTGTAGGCTGTCATCTCTCTGGGAGCAGAGCACCAGCCTTTTTCCTGCTGAGTGGCTGTGTGGGATTCGGCCACGACCAGCCTTTCTGTTTGTTAGCAGAGCGCAGCCTTGCAGCCGCCACTCCCACAGGAGTGACGTGTTTGCAGAGAAAGTGCATGCAGGAGGGTCATGCACAGGGACCCCAGTGGCGATGCCAGATGGGCATTGGGCTTTCAGCAGTTCAAATCCACCAGCCCCGCTGAGGGAGGAAGATGAGGCTGCCTGCTCCAGGAATGGTTAACCGTCTCGGAGACCCTATATACTGTCGCTACGAACGAGAATAGACTCATTGGCAGTGGGTGATGGGAGTGAGGGAAGTGGGCCAGGAGCACAGGCCTGATCCCACCCAACTGGGCAGCTAGAGATCACACCCCACCCTCTCCGGACCCTCTTTCTCCACCTGTAGCTCCTGGTGCCAATAAGCCAGCTTCCGGACTGGGCCCCAGACCTCCCTGGGCACCTTGCACGGACCTCCAGCTACCAGGACCTTGGGGATCCCATGGTATAAGTGTCCTGGAGTGGCTGCAGCACATTCCCACAAAGGGGGTGACGGATCCGTCCCAGGCTTCAGGCCTCGCCTGCCCGCCCCTGCCGGCTCCTTGGCTTGTAGAGCCTCACTCTCATCTCAGCATCTCCCTTCACCCAGTGTTTTCCAGACACCTTCTGGGGGCACCAAAATCAACCGACCACACTCACCTGCTCCTCTGGGTCCAGCAAAGTAGTGGGAATCCGTGAGCTCACACTGAGTCTCTAGGAAATGAGTCAGGGAGGCTCCCACAGTGAGGCCCGGCTGACCACTCTGCTGGGTCTGCCCATTTGGTAGTAGATTGTTGTGTTTCTTGTTGCTGTTGGTCGTCACAGAGCCAGTTCCCACGTAAGGAGAACCCCGTGCGTGCAGACCAGGCACCGGGCTCCCTTGGGTGTTCCCAGTCTGTTGACAAGCTTCCACGACTAACACTAGCTTCTCTGCGTCCTTGTCTCTCCGCTCCCCC